AAAAAAAAAAAAAAAAAAAAAATTTGAACCTGCAATCCGGCGGACTCCACCCTCGCCGGCGTCCTTCTGAGCAGTCGCCATCGCTCTGAGGAGTCTTCCCGACCGTCCTCGGACCTGCAACAGCACGGCCGCGAGCCGACGTTCCCCAACCCCGAACGGAAACTCAGTCCGCCATAGATTCCGGCGACCACTTCTTCTCCGGTCGAACTCCGAGTCGGCCTGCCATCGTCTACGCGCAGTAGTCCAAGTTCGCGAGCATTTCATCGGGTTTCAGCCTCAGACCCGTGTTCGAGCTCTCAAGTTTTCAAAGCCGGTTGTTCGACCCGCTGTCGGGCCCGTTCCCCATCCGATTTCTCGTAGTTTCCCGAAGTCGGGTAACTTATTCGATTCCTCTCTTTATTGCGGTCGTTTTCATATATTATACGTTATATATATGATGTGTTCGGTTTACCGAAATCAGATTTGAAGTCGGATTTTCTTTAGGTTCATTTAATTTTTCGTATGTATATTATGTATATTCGTGGCTTTTCGGAGGTGTTTGGAACTCTCGATTTCGTAAATGTGAATATCGTTAGATTGCTGTGATAAAATCATTTAAGTTCAAAGTCTCGTTTCGTTAATTCGATCCGTAGTTAAGTTGTTTGAGTCGTTCAAAATCCGGTCGTTCATTATGCTTTTATGTTTGGTTGTTCCGTTTTCGAGCCAAAACCGTTGTTAAAAATATATTTTGGAACTCTGAAAATATGCGATTGTTGATAATCTCTTGAAACTCGTTGCTGGGAATTTGTTTTATAGCAAAGGTCTCTACTCTGTTATTTTTTTTCGCAGCCTTTGTTTCCCTGCTCGAAGCCTCGAAGTTGCTCTCTGTTAATATATTTTGTCCCAGACATTTTTTTAAGTTATTAAACTCGGAATGCGGTTTTACTACCAACTGGGCGCGTAGCCTAGTGGTGTCTACGCCCATTTGGTTGAGGGAGGTTGCGGGCTCGATCCCCGGAGTACCAAGTTTTTATTTTTATTTGATTTCCAGCTGCGCGGGCCATAGGGCCCGAAACCAGCCCGCGCGCGGCCCGCCCTCCTCAGCAGATTCAGCCCAAAAGCCCGCACCTTAGCAGGCCAAGTCTTGGGCCATTAAACCTCCTTAGATGCAGCCCATTTCGCATGTACAGGCCCAAATTGTAGGGCTGAAATTTCAGCTTCGGCCCAATTGACCTTTTTAAGCCTATTTTGTGTTCCGGGGCCCGTTTTTAATACCGATTTGAATTTTAAAAATATTTTAAAAATGATAAAAATTTGAGAAAAATATTTATAAGTCCCGAGACTCCAAATTAATTCTCCGAGTCCTATTTTTTTCAAAAATAAGAGAGTTCCAAGTCCACGAAAAATCCGATTAAAACCCTTAAGACTTAATTTTTATTAAGTATGGGTTTTATGTTAAATTCTAGTAGTGAGATAGATC